AAATTAATTGCATCCCAAAATCAGGGACATAAAAAAACAACCAACTAATATACAATAAGGATATACTTTATGTGAGTTTATGTTAATTCATGCGAGCCCGTCTCTGTTTTCTTCGACTAGAACTTGTTGATTGTCCACATTCTGACGCCTTGGGTTTGAGCAACTTTGCTATTATTGCGTCAAGAAAATGTTTAAATGAATGTTTTATATAAATTTCCGAAAATGAAGGATATGGAGATATCGAACAGTATTCAGTATCAAAGTCCATAAAACAATACAAAATAGGTGCAGAGCAAACACGGACTTCCAAAACATCAGTCAGAGGCGGGATCAGGTGCCATGGAGGAGTGAGCATCCCCTGCCGACCGGTCACACCCGCCGTGTCCTTGTCATGATCGGGAAATAACGGGAAAATCCGTTGTCAATTCAGCGTATAAATAATGGACTAACAATTAGTATGAAAAACGTCAGTCAGCATTTGACTCAATAATAAATTGTATTTGTTGACAAGGTCATTGTATCGACCATAGACCTTACGAAATGATGACTTTAATTATAGGGCTGTGCAATAATATCGATATTTCAATATATTGCAATACAATGGCAAAAAATATTGTATCGCAATACGATTTTGTAATATCGATATATTGGCAATATGCTTACATTAAAGAATTTTGTCATTAAATATAAAAATGAACTTATGAAAGTTTGTTATTAAGTCAAACAGTAAGTCAGAAGTTGTTTTGTGGGAACATTTCAGAGCATAACTTAAATGAAATCAATAAGAAATTTTTTCCGTGTTGGTTACTTATCATGTTATGTACATTCTGCATGTAAATCAATGTAAATATAGTAAGAAAATGCCATTTTTATGACATTGAAGATATTGCAATACATATCGCAATACAGTTGAAAATATCGCAATATATCGCAATACGAAATCTCGGGCCAATACCCAGCCCTTACTTTAAACGAGACTGTTTTGCATAATAAAACTAACGTCGAAAAATGAGTAAGAAATTAAACTCATTAATTGTTTTTAACATATTATTTTTTACGTTTAGACATTCATTAACAGTAACTGAAGACAGAAATTGAAGGATACATTTCAGGTCAGCCGCAGTCCATTCCTCAACATATTCACTGTTTTGGCATTGATAGTTACCGATACATCCCTGGCAGTAACAAGAGAGATTCCTACTTTCCACTTTCAGCGATGTCTGCGTATTTCTTACCTGATGTAGTTTCCTAGTTATAATTAGAGTTTCTACTACTGGCACATTACTTCTGTCTAACTCGTCCTTGTCCACAAATACAAACTGTCTAATTGAAACTGTCCTCTACTTCTCAGATATAATTACACTGTGAGCCAATGTGTCTTGGCAATGTTTAAACAGATCTGTTGCATCACCAATCATCTTGCCAGTTAGCATTGCGATAACATCTATTCTTCACCACTGCCCCAAGTTATAACAGACATTTTTCCATGACTGATCTCGTAACAGTTTTGACTAATATTTCCTTGCCTATTGCTGAGGTAACCAAAAGCAGTCTTACACTTATACTGAGCAGCGCGTCCATCTGTCCACTGATAAATTGAGTCCAATTTCTGTTGTTCCTCGATGATGGCTAAGCTTCGGTCCTCAAAGACTTTGACTAAAGTTTAGTCATGTTTCAAGTCATTAGAGATACAAATAATTGAATGTTTGAAAAGGTGGTCTATATTTTCTACTTTCTGCCTATAGTAACACATGATGTGATGACTTGTTACCAGATTTTAATCAAAGAAAGCACTCTGGACTTCATTCTGGAATGAGCATTTATAATTTTCGAAAAAATCCATAACCATCATCAGTTCGTTTGGTTTCAGGTGATCCTGTGTTTGCTGCCATTTAGCACGGAAAATTTATTAATAGGATATTCTTTCAGCGCAACCTCAAGGTCTTCAACAAGCTGAACGTGATTGTTTTAGGCTTACATGTCATAATTCGTTTCTTTGAATTGCCATTGCTATCACACCTATCAACCATTGTATACTCCCATTTATGCCAATCTATTGCGATATTCTCTTTGGAACAAAGGGCTACTACGAGTTTTAGAAACTCTTTTATTTTGTGTGTAACACATTTATTGCACAATCTTTTCAGACAATCATTTCTATGATGTTCACCTTCTGAAACCTTGCACAATGTTTCCTCTGTTAATGTTGTCTTGTCTGCCTTTGTTCCAAAAGCTTGAATATTGTCATGTTTCTTCATAAAAGACTTCAGAACTTCGACTTTTAGAAGTATAGGTTACAACATATTTGACATAAACAAGTTTTTCGACTTGTTTCCGATATTCGCCTCACATTCTTTGGTTTAAATGATTTAAATGTGGATGTCTTCGTTTTGAGACTTAATTAAACAATATATATAAGCATCACTTGTTGTCATTCTCATTACATGTTTTTGGAAAAAATCGTTTTTGCCACCAACCTTAATGCAGACATTTTTTTTGTTAGGTACTTCTCTACTGACTTCTCCAGATAAGTAAAAGTCCTGAACTTTTCTACGTGTACATTCATCTACTCGATCCTTCCTTTTTTTCTTATGTCTGGTTTCCACCAATGCTGATGCTTAGTTTTAGTTTTCAGAGCTCTTTTTTTCCAGTTTTCCGATCAATATTAAATAATGCCAGTTTGCATTGGATACTATATTTCTTACAAACTATAGCTGCTGAAGCAACTGTATGCAGCAAAGTTTGGTAAGCTCTGAGAGATGATGGGCATTTTTTTAGCTTTACTTGAGTGATATTTCTTGAAAAATGTTCAATCAAAATGTCTGCTAAATCTAGTTTCTTTTTGGTCTTGGTAGACATTATTCTTCCTTTTTCTTCTAATGCCCTGCCAGTAGATGGCGAATTAATCAGTTTCTCATGTAATAACCGTTGAACTTTTTTCTACACCTCGGTAAATGGCCCTTCTACTTGGAGATGCCTGTGAATTGCCATCATCATTGGGTTTTCTACCAGGATTTGATAATACACTATCATTATCCTGCTCTCTGCTTTGCATCAAACTGGAATTATTATTCTCATCTAAATTTATACTTGACATTAAACCTGCATTATCATTATCATCTGACTTTTCACCTGGCATCTACTTTGGATCAGTGTAAACACCTGATTTCTCTACTTCCTCATCAGATGATATTGCTTTCTTGCTGCGAGATAACTTCACACGTAGACACCATCTTTGTGTTCGCAAAAACTGCAGTTTCTTTTTTTCGACTGGCGTCGGAATTTCATAAATATTATGGATTCTGTTGAAGATTACGCAAGACGACGGGCATCAATGAAATAGAAGACGTTGACACTTTTTCAGAATGGATTAAATGTATCAGGTCCATGTTAAAATCGCATATTAAAAGATTGAGGGCAATATGAAAACCGTCTATCCTTCTGTATTCAATAATCCAGAAGTGAAGTGAAAAAAGAATTAGATAGATAACATGATCAGTACGTACTGGTCCCTGCTGAAAAAGCAGGTAACAACATTGTCTTCGTTTGTAAGGCTCATTATATAAATTGTATCTTAGAAGAACTTGGATTTAATTCTACTAATGGTAATCCAATTTATACTCATAGTTCCCTTTCTAAGGAAGAAATTCGTCAACTTCTCTTATGCAGCAATATACCCTCATCACCTGCATACGACGTTTATGTATCTAAAAGGAGGTGAATTATTGAAAAAACAAGTTGATGAAACAGGAATATCAACAGTCTCGTTTTAATTCATCATTTCGTAAGTTCTTTGGTCGATTCAATGACCTTGTCAGCAAATACAATTTATAATGGAGTCAAATGCTGACTGACGTTTCTCATACTTAATTGTTAGTCCATTAATTATACACTGAAATGGCGACGGATATTCCCGTTATTTCCCTATCATGACAAGGAGCACATGGGTGCGACCGGACAGCAGGGGATGCTCACTCTTCCATGGCACTTGATCCCTCCTCTGACTGATGTTTTGGAGGTCCGTGTTTGCTCTGCTCCTATTTTGTATTGTTTTATGGACTTTGATATTGAATACTGTTCGTTATCTCCATATCCTTTATTACACAGACAAGCAACTTACAGTGAAATAATGCAACTTACAGTGAAATAGGATATCAGTAAAATAGCAACTTACAGTGAAATAATGCAGAAGGACCCTATAAGGGGTATAGTGTATTAGGATATCAGTAAAGAGGTGAAATGAAATAGACACAGTGAGCTTGAGCTCATCTGAGCCAATCTCGACTCATGTACGTGATCGTCTCTGATCGAAAAGTCTAGCTTATATCTAAATTACATAAAGATCTGTATCCACTAAACCAGTGTTTGTGTATTCAACAAATTTATATAAAAAAACACTATTCTTCAAGCGAAGGTTTACACGATACGAAAGGGAGGTATGTAATATAAATTTGAGAGATTATCTAAAACCCTAATATATGTAAGCATATCACAATGTTGTATACATTCAATTTGTTCAAATAAATCAAATAAGGATAGAATCAACTTTGTCGAAATCCTGGCTTTTAGGGCTAGACACGGGCTCATCGTCGTTATAGATATATAGTGAAAATGTCGAAAATAAATCACAAGGTCAGTTTTAGATTGTGCTTGTAGGAGAATGTGTTATTTGTATCTTTGAGTACAGTATGTTATCGTCTTTCTTTGTAGCATAAGATTCCATACGAACAGCACATCTTTATACAATGCTAAACACATGCATCCTCCGTGTACTCTGAAGACCAAATAAGTTAACTGCTTACCGTAGCGCGTCCCAAAACAGTTGATAAAAATTAATAACGTCAAAAGGAATTTTATTTCAAAATAGAATGTCATGTATATAAAAAAAAATGTAATTACCCGAAAGGAGGATACCCAGAGACAATTGGAAACCCAGGAATTGGGTCGGTAATTTATTACCTCTCTGTGTACGTTGTTCCCCTAGTGGGAGTAGATACCAGGGGAGGTAAGCATGTCGATAGCTCGGGGTGATCAGAGGTGAACACAATGTATGATATGGAATAGACACAGAGAAACATGAAGGAAAAGAAAATCACAGAGGATGTTGGTAAGGCTACTTATCTCTGAGAAATTTTGCTAAATTATTAAAGATGTCTAAAAAGACATTTTACGTTACTATGTATTGATAATTTATCATTGTTCACGTACATAATTTTGATACTAGTAATTGGAGCCAATCAAATTCAATACTTTAAAAAAAACCTCATTTGATTTTCCCCTTGTGACTTCCACGCAATATTTTCATTATTATCCCACAATTTGATTAACGTTTATGTAAGTTTACAACCGACGTATTTTCCCATAATTCACCCTGTCAGGACACAATAACATTTAAAACATCGAATGCTGTCTCTTTTATTCTTACCAAAATGTGTTGTGAAACACTGATGCCCCTGTATGGCACCTTTTGGGAAAGGATCAATTTTCTCAGTTGCACTAAAAACGCAAATTAATGTCAAGAGAAGAAAACAATGTTGTTACCCAAAGAAAGGATTTGTCTCAATGTGAAATAAAAAATCTCAAGCACGAATCATTCAAAGTTATGTCCAAGGTTCAAGTTTTAAAAATGTGGGTCAAATTCCAATGTCAATGCCAAAAAGGGGAAGGCCTTGTCACAAGAAATATACGTTTTAAATATTAAAGCCGTAGCACTAAATGTTCAAAGTCAAGTTCAAAATTTTTGTTATTCAAAGAAAGGCCTTGACATAAGAAATACACAAATGAAATGTGAAAGCTCTAGTGCTAACTGTTTTAAAGTTACTGCCAAGGTTAAAGATTTTTTAAAAGCAGGATAAAACTCAAAGATCAAGTTTAAAAGTATTGATATTCATAGAAAACGTGGGTAGAACTTGTTGCAATGAATACACATGTGAAGTATGAAAACCCTGGAACCAACTGTTTCAATATGTGTCCAAGGTTAAATATTGTAAATTCTTGCAAAAGTGAGTCAAACTCCAAGGCTAAGAGGTCTTTGTTAGTACCAAAAGGAAGGCCTTGTCATAAGGAATATATATACTTGTGAAATATGAAAGCCATAACTTTAATCAATTAAGAGTAACAAGCAAAATTAAAGTTTTTGGAAGACATTAAGATATTACACTTTAAATCCCAATTTTTAAAATGTTCCGATTCAAATGGTTTTACTGAAAAGTTAGCAACGATGCATAAAATATAACTTTTGTATTATTTCGTGCTTGCTTCAAATTGCAGTTCAGTCACTTTGTCAAATCTACGTTATATTCATATTTTATTTCAAATCTTCAGTTTTAAATTTATTTGATATAAAATTAAAATAAGATATGAATGGTTTTGCTTCATTTTAGAACAAATATAATATAATATGGCATTTTCAAAATAATAATGAAAACACCTTTAGTTGATGACGATGTACCATGCTGTTTCTCTCAACGCTGGAAGACAGCCTACGTCAGCTTCTTGGGGTTTATCTGCGTTTATGCCGTGCGAGTGAATCTCAGCGTAGCTATCGTCTGTATGGTAAAATCCCAGAATCCCAGCAATAGCTCACGTGATAATGCCAGCACCCTAAGTCCATGTACTACTGACGACGAAAGTAGCTCCGTGTACGAGGTAACTACACTGGTCATCTGTAAAACTTAGTATATTTGAAAACAAGACCAGTTCAATATTTTCTTAAACAAAATTTTAAAAATACGGAAAAGAGAAAATGTTTTTTTTTTTTTAACTTAAATTATGTATACAAACTTGCAGCACGCCGAGTTTGATTGGTCTAAAACCACCCAGTCTACGATTCTTGCGTCCTTCTTCTACGGTTACATCGTCACCCAGGTTCCCGGAGGATGGCTGTCCGACAGGTTTGGGGGAAGACGGGTGTTTGGTATTGGGATGTTCATTGCCTCCATTTGCACATTGGTATTTCCGGTATGCGCGCGCAATTCAGTAATCTTGGTGTATGTTCTACGAGTTCTTCTTGGCCTATCAACGGTAAGAACATTGTTTTGTTTATATATTATTTTTATCTAATTAGATTTAATGTATCCACTTGTTTATATTACATGTTTATTTAAATATTTATATATTTAAATATTCATAGGCGGTGTCATTTCCCGCGGTTCAGTCGATATGGGGACGGTGGGCACCGCCATTAGAAAGAAGTAAACTGATTTCTTTCTCCTACCTAGGTAACGTTACTTATCTGATTTACATCTGAACAATTTTGAATCATAATTTGCAGTGACTGTCATTACACATTAGCTCTACAGCTTTCCCCTGACTTGTAGGTACTATGTTTGGAATGGTGCTGACTTTGTCTACCTCGGGTCTTTTATGCCAGTACGGATTTGACAACGGATGGGGCTCGATCTTCTACATCACAGGTTATTCACTTTATACACGATATTTATGTATCATATCGCGTAAAATTTTATTTTGAAAGATGACTTATTATTTAAACTATGTGACGAGCACAGGATGCGTTTTACAAAATTGTGAAATGTGTGAACCCAGGGTCAGGGATTCCTGTGGGATGGATTATTGCTGAATATTACTGATTTAATTAAAATGCCTTTTTGTTCCCCTACTCTGCCTATGGTATTAAGTAACCAAAGTTAGGATGCTAAATGTATAGTTATGGTGGTCACTGGTGCCTCTTTCTAAAATTGTGAATTTCATGGCATGGCCAGCATTTTTTTATTTTTAGGTTTACGAACATCAGAATGAAAAAGTCCCGTAGGAGGAGGAAATAAAAAAAAAAAAATAAAATTATATTTGGGATACATTATCGACTTTTCTATATTAATTTTTGCTTCTTTTTTTATGCTCTCCTAACAGGCTTCTTGCCACAGGACACATAAGGGTTACAAAGGGGAAAATACAACCTTTAATTGTTTATTTCATCATCTACCAGTTGGGGGCAGTGATATAAATCTTTTGATGTTGAACAAAATACAGATTTTATAAAAAAAAAATCAATTTTTTAAATCTCTTTTAATATATCTTCATTTTTGTTTTTAATGTGTGTTAGGTAGAAATTATTCTAAAATATTAATATACTTATGACCTATAAAAGTAATAATTCCTTTCATAAAACAGACAGGGAGTATTCCCAAGGAGTATTGAGGAGTAGGGTGGAATTTTTTTCAATTAAGTGTAAAATAATTTTTCTGGCTGCCATAAACGATACTACATGTCTGTATATATTTGTATATTCTTGTTTTTAAATAGTTGAAATATTCTATTTCTTTAGGCTATTGTTTATTTCTTCTTCAAATGGACTTAACTTCTCCCATAGTTTTATTCATTACATCGGATGCATAAGCGACCCTTTTCTGAAGAATGATGCTAAGACTGTAAGCTATGACAAAACCTAAACATTGTCTCTGACAATAGCTACCATGGGCAGTTTTAAACCTGTGGAAGGAAAATAATTTACAATTACAGACACTGAGACAGTTACTTTTGAATACGGATACATAATTATCTCACCAACATGTCACTTTGCAACAAAGTCGTCAGCATTTTATTGTTCTCTGAACGAGTGAAACGTTTTGAATGGCACTCTTATCGATAAATATTTACATTAAACCAAGCTTTAGTGCTGCTATGGACTTGACACAAATCTCCCTTCATTACCCGCCATGTTCATTTAAAACCGGAAGTACGAGTTCGTAAATTTGAAATCTCGATCCCGACTCAAATTTGACATCGGAAAGAAAAAATTCTGTTTTTCTGAATTTTATTTTTTTTTCTGAAAATTCAAAAACTTGAGCGGCGGGTTTGTAAACCTAAAAATAAAAAAATGCTGGCCCATCTTATTTAAAGCATGAACCAACTTCAATGGTTGAAAAGTTGTTACATTATGCTCAGGTAACCTATAAGGCCTCTTGTTTTTCTAAGTTAGCCTTATAATTTAAAAATCAAACGATACATACCAAGTTGAAGTTCTATTGTTATTCTCCGACGTATAGGTCAGTATTAGAGATCAGGTGAGATTGCAAAGCAATTCCCAGAATTCAGTCTTTTAAGGTGTTGTGACCACAAAACAAAACTCGCAATGCTAGGTGGGTGCAGTGTGGCACTTGATCTCTAATACTTACGTATACTTCGAAGAATTACAATCAAACTTCTACTTGGTATGCATCGTTTAATTTTTAATTTCTCCATCAGAATACGTCAGTATTGATATCATGTGATAGATTTAAATTTGGTCACAACACTTTATTAGGAAAATAAACTGATTTAGCAATATGTCTTATTGCATAAAACATCGACAAATTGAATTGACAAATATCACCAAATTTATTACAGCAATCAATTGTCAAAACGTGTTAAGTTTTATTGTCAGTTTCTGTAGAATATTTTGATAAAACTGACAGTCCAAAGTTATCACATTGAACAGTTCTGGTATAAAACCTATAAAATGTTCCCGAATTGGACCATCCTGCAGTATTCATGATGCTGATGAGCGACAGTTCCATAGACGTTGCAACACTAGTTACAGCGGAACGTGTGCTATGTGCACTATAAATGTTTGTGTCTATTCCAGATTCTGTCATCACTCTTTTGATCCAGCGGGCTATGGTGTAACTGGTTACAGCGTTACGTGGACTTATTATGATTTATTTTATTTAAACTTGGACTGATTATGATTTGATTTATCTTTAGGTCTACTGATTATGATTTTATTTTATCTGTACTTGGACTGATTATGTTTTAATTTTATCTTTACTTGGATTGATTATGATTTAATTTATCTTTAGGTCCACTGATTATGTATTTTATTTATCGAAAGGTGGATTGGTTATAATTTTATTTATCATAAGTCGGACTGATTATGATGTAATTTGAGTAATCTTTCGGAGGACTAATTATGTTTTAGTTTATCTTTTGGAGGACTAATTATGTTTTAGTTTATCTTTATAGGGAACTGATTATGATTTAATGTTATCTTAAGGTTGATTAATTATGATTTACTTTGTCTTTTCGAGTGGTTAGAAACCGAGGTCCCGTGTCGCAGTATGTGCTGGCACGAAAAGTATAGTGGTGGCTTCACATGAGTGAAAAATTCTCGAGAGGGACGTTAAACAATATACAATCAATCAACAATCTTTCCGAGGACTAATTATATATTATAGCTTATCTATCAGGGGTCTCATTATGTTTAAGTTTATCTTAAGGTGGAATTATTATGATTTTTTATTTATCTTAAGGTGGACTGATTGGAATTTTATTTTTCTGAAGGTGGCCTAACTCTGTTATGGGTCTTTGCATGGTTCTACGTCACAGCAGATACACCAGATCAACATCCACGCATTTCTAAGGCAGAGAGAGATTATATAACCTCTTCCATAGAATATAATACAACAATACGGGTAACTATCATTTCACCTGAAACAAATTCAAAAACAAGATGTGTTTGTGAAACAACTATGCACATGTATAACAGTTTATGGCAAGGGTCGAAGTTTCTCATAGAAGTTAAACTCCAAGGTCAACCTTCTTGGTATCCAAAGGCAGTTCTTGTAACGAGGAATATACCCATAAAGTATGAAAGCCCTAATACTAACAGTTGAAAAGTTATGAACAAGATAAAGTCTTTAAAAAATGGGTGAAATTCTAAGGTCAAGGTCAAGAGATGAAATATTTTTATACCATTGTATGGTCTTGTTACAGTAAATACACATGCAAAGTATAAAACCTATAAAACCCCAAGCACCAACTATTCAAAAGTTCTGGCCAAAATAAAAGGACGAAATTTTTATAACAGAGGGTTAAACTCGAAGGTCAAGATCTCAAGATCAAATTTGGTGGTGTCCAAAGAAAGGTCTTGTCTGAACGGATACACCTGTGAAATATGAAGCCCTAGCTCCACCAACACAAGTGATGGAGTCGCCCGCGTGGCGCAGTGGTTAGAGCGTCTTCTCTGAAGTAAGTAGTAGATCTTTACTCGCGGGTTCGAATCCCACTCTGGGACATGGAGACCGGTCCTTCGGATGAGACCATCTAAACCGAGGTCCCGTGTCGCAGTAGATGCTGGTACGAAAAAGATCCCCCACTGAGTACCGAGTATAAGACAAAATTTGCAGCTCTCCACCGGCAAGTGGTGGCGTCTCCATAAGAGTGAAAAATTCTCGAGAAGGACGTTAAGCAACATGCAATCAATCAAAAGTTATGGCCAAGTTTTTTTGCGGGCAAACAGATAAACAGATTTACAGACAAACAGAAGACGGTTGAACGGACGGACAAGGCAAAAACTATGTACTCCCGAATCTTCTATTACAGGGACATCAAAATATTTGTTTTAAATATATATATAGCATATATAAGACAAGAAAAATATGTATAATTTCAGATCACACTCCTCTGAAAGTGACTTCGATTTTCATTTGTTAGATATAAAGCAGTTTGAAAATAATTTTTTTCAAAACCAGACACCGAAGACACCTTGGAAGTCGATAGCGATGTCGTCTGCCGTGTGGGCGTGTCTGACGGCCCACGTGTGCAATAACTGGACAAATTACACCCTGCTCACCAGTCTCCCTACCTTCATGAAAGAAGTCCTCAAGTTTGACATAAAAAGCGTGAGTCAAGTTATTATAATAATAACTGCGCGATAGACCTGTGTACTAGTATGTCAAGCTTTCACGAATATGCCAATCATTTGAAAATAATTTATCACGTGAATCACACAAAATAAAACATTTCTGTTCAAATCAAGCTTGAATAATTGATAACTTACAAGAGTTCCCGTATACTTGACATTAATGAGTAAATTGTCTGTCATTGCAAATTACGACAAAAAGCTTTCTTAACCATTATAATTACAGAATGGAGCGCTTTCAGCGTTACCGTACATCTGCCAGGCGGTGTCCGGATTTCTGGCGGGTCAAACAGCGGACATTATCCGATCCAAGCGCATCCTCAACACCACTAATACCAGGAAATTCTATCAGATCTCGGGTATTGAAAAATTCATAAAAATAAAAATGTTTTTTTTTTATCATCTCTCATCTGTATCGATCATTTTGTGTCGTTATACAATGTAGTTTACATAATATTAATATAATGGTAACTCGTGCTTATGTATTTGAACCATTCAAAAATTTAATATCATAGAGAGTAAATCAAATTTGACCGCTTTTAATACTAATTAAAGGATAAAAATATCATTATTGGTTTTGCCGCATCGTAGAGGGGAGATCTGTTTGAATCCAAGATCTAAGAATAGGTATAAGTCAGTAATGTAAAACTGGTTAAAGTTGCACTTTAAAGAATCAAGAGAATGCAGACAATTTTTTTTGCAGCGTTTATTGGTGCCGGCGCTATGTCTGTGGCGGTAGGATACACGGACTGTGACCAGCGAGGCGTGGCGGTGGCGCTGCTGTCTCTCGCGGTGATGTTCACTGGACTGTGTCGGGCGGGATTTACAGTTAACCACGTGGATATTGCTCCAAAGTAAAATAAAGATTTTTGATATTTTACTATGAAGCAATGACTTTCGATGATGAAAATATATATGTAGACTATCATTTCATTTTGTATATATACTAGTAGTATATATTATGTTCTCCTACAAGGTACGCCGGTGTGCTGTATGGAATCACCAACACCATGGCGACCATTCCGGGGATGTTAGCACCAATTGTTGCTGGGGAACTTACCCCAAATGTAAGAAGTAATTGTATTTAATTTATAGCATATGAGTAATATAGTAAATGTCATTAGTGGGTAGAGACATACATGTACATGTAAATAATATTAATTTTCAAACAAGAGGCCCATCGGCCTTAACGGTCACCTGAGCATCATTTAACAACTTTCCAACAATTAAATTTGCAATTTATTCATGTTTAAACCTGGGGTCATGGCATTCAGAATTTTGATAGAAGCACCATTGCTCACCATAACTATACACTTAGCATCCTTTCTTTGGTTACTTATTACCCATAGGCAGTGTAGGGGAACAACAAATTGAGTTTCAACTAATCAGTAATTTTCAGTTGTTCCCCCATCCCACAGGTACCCCTAACCCTGGGGCCACACATTTCACAGTTCTGGAAAAGGCGTCCTAGCAGATTTCAAAATATTACCCAGTAATTAGTTTTCAAAATATAATAATCCCCCCCCGCGCAGGATACCCCTGACCCAGGGGCCTTAAAATTCACAATTCTCAAAGAGTGATTCTTGTTCAATATAACTTTATCATATAGGTAGTTCATCTGCCTAATACCCAGGACAAAGAAGATTTTCAATGAATCCATGCATGCGCATTTTCACTATATTATCAATAAAGACCGGCCCTAAAACGAGAACCCCAGACACGGGGGCCATGAAATTCGCAATTTAAGAAGAGACACCCTTGTTCATCATTACTTAGTAGGCAAAGCATCTGCTTAATACCCAAAATCAGAAGAATTTAAGATACTCAGAGTTAATGCATTTTCACTATATAATCAGTAGAGCCCCGCCCTAACAACAGAACTCCTGACCCTGGAGTCATGAAATTCACAATTTTAGAAGAGGCACCCTTGCTCATTATAACTATATAGTTCATCTGACTAATACCCAGGAGCAGAGAAGAAAATTTCCAAAGAAATAACGTATTTTCACTATATACTCTGTATAGCTCCGCCCTAACACTAGAACCCTTGACCGTAGGGCCATGATCTTCATAAATTTGGTAGAGGGCTCAATGCTTATTACAATCATGTTAACTATTTGACTGCTTGATCTGTAAAAGTAAAGAAGATTGTTAAAGATTTCATTAATTTTATTGGTTTTTGGCCCCGCCCCTCTGACCTTGGCCGGGACCACGAAATTCACAATTTTTGTTCCCTTTCAGCCATGGACGCTCTATGCCAAAATCGGTTGATCGAGCGGTTGCACAGGAGTTGAAAATGTTCAAATGTAAACACACAATACACCACAACGGACGAAACAGATAGCAATAAGTCACCTGAGTTTATACTTGGGTGAACTCAAAAATTTGAAAAAATTATATTCATGCCTACTGTATATTTTGTTCTTCAGTTATATATTTACACAGTTATATGTAGCTCTGTGGGCCATTAACCATAAGGACATGTGCAATTTGTGTTGCTTGTTGGTCTCTGGTCTTGCTAAATAACTTTTTCAGTTACTAGCATAACATGTATTGCTCTACTTGGGTTTCAAGAGCTCAAATTGAAAGCCATAACGTTTCAAGGAGTGAAATAAACAACACAAAATTGAACAATTTTACTGAAAATAGCAGAGGAGGTTATCATTATGTCTGTAAAGTTGAAACGAATAGCGTTTAAAATTTACACTTTTTACGTATACAGTTCTACTTGTTTTTTCCTTTCAGTATAAAGTATAGAATTATAAAATACCATATTTGGTTTACTTACAGAAATCACAGTCGGAGTGGCGATACGTTTTCTTTGTCTGTGCAGGGTTTGACGTGTTTGGCGCCATTATTTATGGTTTGTTTGGCAGTGGAACGATTCAAGATTGGGCTCGTGATGAGGTAGAACTGGAAGTAACTATTGGTAACGAAAAAATCCCCGGTAAAAACAACGCTCAGCCCAAAAATCCAATTACAAAAGACGATTATTCTAAAGAAGAAACAAAGGAAGAAAACTTGGGAGAAAAAGAATCTCGTGAAAACGAAGGTCCGATTTACAGTGTTGTTCAGCGCCAAAACGACCCAGAACCTCATTCTGATGGAGACGCCAATGACAATGCAAGGACAATACAGTTTTAAATAAATGTATAGTCTATCATTTGTAGTATTAATTTGAAAATAGTACATAAAAGCTGACATGAACTCTTAAAAAGGCATCAGTTTTCATCTTTGTACGACTTACTACATTCCTGTACGCCCTTGTCCGCCATATTTCTTCGATTCCGCCATATTTAAAGCTGAACACGACTCGTAAATAGGCATACGCCATTTTTGATAGCATTATCTACGATACATCAATACTAGGGTATACTCGTCGCATTCGTTACACCTGACTGCTTTATTGTCACAGGTATCGGCGTGGAATGGCGACCCGTGTTCGTGCTGGTTATCTTGCATTACCTTTGTTTATATTTTATTGCAGTTACGTTTATCTATGTTGTTTGTATACTGCACTGACTTGTGTGGTATCTTACTTCCCTGCATACGACGAAGTATTAAGTTATTATTCTCGCTACCAGGTCCTGTAAAGCATACGTCCGTCTACACCGGTGTCCACTGATCACACTGACAAGTCTCTAATTCTTGCCCTATTTATAGGGGACTGCAGGGTAGCGAGTCTCGAGAACTAAAATGGCGGACACAATACTTTTACGAATCGTGTTCAGCTTTAATCGAAGATTTTTGGCCACCTGTACCTGCTATATATAGCCTTGTAGAATTGTTTCACTTGAGTGATTTTCTAGCCTGACTGTCGACATGTACACATCTCCGATAGCAAAGTTGTCATAAATCCATAAACTGACCAAAAACATGTTTTAAAAGTTAAAAAATCCAACAAAAACTATAACAAAACAGAGAAGTGAATAATTTTTGAATGCATTTGCTGCAATTTAGAAAAAAAATAACACGGAAAACATCAAAAACCGTTTGGATATGCACGCATGCAGGTCGAGAATATGCATCGAACGCAGTGATAAAGATATTTACATGAATACTGCTATCGTTACAGGGATGTGCACATGTCTAAAGAAATATCCTATTTTACTTTTATTGAAATATGCATCTCAGAAGTCATGTAATCCATTGCTAACTGAACAGTAAATAATTTTCATCACATAGCACTTGGACGCACGTGGTCCACGACGATCAGTCTATTTGTTCAGGGGAAATTTCAAAGGTGGAAAGCTTACTGGTATTTGGTTGATTGAAAAAATGCAAATAATTTTTTCAATCAACCAAATATTACTCTTGTCTGTATATGTAAATGTAAACAAGTTTTAGAAACTTGGCTTAACTACATTACATTTATTTCATAGCGAGCAACATTACGAATCATTCATCCTTTGACTAGATTCTCTCGTGAAAGGGGGGGGGGGGGTAATAAAAATTGCATAACGCTCTCTGAAAAAGATCGGATTTTATTACGATCAAATATTTTCATTATAAATACTTTGTATTGGCTTTATTTTTTTTTTTAAATATAGACCTAATATAACTTGATTTAAACTTATTTTATAATTTTTTACACAATAAACGAGCTTGATGCTGTGGTACATGAATGATCAAAATAGAATTCATTGGCGGATCCAGAGGTGGGGTGGGGTTCCGGGGATTGGACCCCCTTTATTTTTGCACATACATACACAGAGAGAAAGAGAGAGAATGTTTTTCTGCAATATAAAAGATAGATATAATTTGAAGAATTTAAAAAAATCTCCTTTGTCCTGTCTGTTCGCTAGATCTGTAGATTTTCGCGGATTTGCTTTCCTCTTTGTACCTTCAATCATTTTTCAGTCATTTATTTGAATCTCTTCACCATTTTACAACAGTATACAGAGATCACAAAATATATAGGTGATTTTATACATAACAGTAGATCTATAAAGCATGCGTGAATAAGAAACTAAACAAAAAATTGTACGTTGCTATAAATGTGAAGTATGGGAATTTAGGCCGGGGGCATATTTTATTTTTTTTCTTTATAAAAGAGCACAATTTTCACAGAAAACAGTATCTATTGTTACTCATAATGTGTTAAGAATTAATTACATTCTGAAATTTTATGCTTTTTTCTGTTAAGCATAGCATTCTTTCTGAAAGTAACGAGCTGCACTTTAGTATGTATTGAAACTCATCTCCAAGTTCTTTTATCTTGTCTTGGTAACCCTGGCTAAGGGCTCCGATCACCCACCAGTAACATGCAAGGTAGATTCCAGCGAACTTTGGCTATACCATTTTTGAACACCTCAGAAGTAACTAACTTTTAGAAGTATACATGAAATATACATGGAATATTTCGTTTCAGTGAAGATAAAGGTTTAAAATGTTCCCGTAGTATGCAAATGGAGGGGGCTCTTTTGCTGCAGTTTTAAATAATATTTTGATTTGGAAGCTCCCTCCACATTTTTTTGTTGCCGGAAAATGCGCAGATTCAAGCATTTTTAAAAGTAATGTACCGAACAAAAAAGTTACAGGAAGCCCCCCTAAAAAAAATGGATATTAGAGTGTGATACATAGGGGTTTTTTAAAAGTTTTTTTGTGTTTGTTTGTTTGTTTGTTTGTTTTTTTTTTTTTGCTTGTCAACTGAATTTGGAGGTCCCCCGTCAATACAAACTGAAGTGGCTGTGGTGTGATTCTAGGCATGAGTGCCATGCGCGGATCTATTGCGGGGTCAGGACCACCCCCACCCCCCGGGATTTGCAAGGTTATGAAATTTATATACTAAAGCAAGGAAAAAAGTTTACGTTGGACCCCCCTCGGAAAACGCAGACTCCCTGGTAAATGCGAATTTATGTTAAATTGGATGAAAAGTCTAAGGTTCGAAGCTTATTTATACAATGTTTGTTTTGTTCTGTTTGTGTATGTATAACTGTAATGATTTTGTACATTGTTCTATATGCACCACTGTGGGCCGAAATTGATTGAATAAATATTCTAACTCTAATTCTAATCAGAAGTCATCGACTCCCCCCCCCCCACCACCACCACCACCACCACGAAATAAGTTATTGAAGTCTGGGCGAGTTTACGAGTCTGTTTTTTATTTATTTATTTTTTTTTTTTGCTTGTCAAGAAATTTCTGGGTTAGATTTTTTATTTGGAACTGAGGTGGACCCCCCCCCCCGGAAAAAAATTGTTGGATCTGCGCCTGAGTGCTGAGGGCACCGACCTGGAATCCCCCCTTTCTAAAAATGGCTGGATCCGCCCCTGGAATTAAATGTGCGTTATATTTCATCACATAAAATGTTAATAGTCGAAGCATATAGGAAGGGATAGCAAACTGCCGATGAGAGTCCCACATTCTTCCAAAAATTAGCTTTTTATACCTCTTGTCTTAATTATTTTTGTCCAGATTCCTTACCTGAGCTAGAAGGTATTTGAGAAAGTTCCCAATGTTCCCATTCCTTTGATGTAGATTTGACGTTTATTTCCCTTTTAATTTCGGCGTTTAGGTTTATTTTTCTTGTCAAAAGTAAAATTATTATTTCAATTTTTGAACAAGTTTCGACATCCCCGCCTGAAAAAAATTCTTGATCTGTCCCAGAATCTAATAAATGGTACAGCACAAAATGCATATGATTTTATATCTCTTATTGCGCTTACGGATGGTTACAGGAGAATAAAGAGAGTTCAATGAATAAAATAGTAATTAAAAATTATCTGTATTCAACCAGGTTTCAAGTATCCTTATCCTACTTTTTAAAAACATCTCCCAAATATTGCAACAGAAATTATTTTTATTTTTAAAAAAGCTAGACTTTCAGACAGGGATACTGAAATCTCGAAAGACTTTCTGTAATAATCATAAAACAGCCACATTCCTCAAAAATGCACATACTTTGTGGTCGGAGTGAGGCAATAAAAAATCTCGAAAAATGGAATTGGCAGAGATGTCTGTCTTCCAAGACTATTTAGGTAACGGTCATGTTAATTATTTCTGCCCCCCCCCCCTTAAAAATACAAATGCCTAAATGTCAATCTAAACAAGGGATGTTTTTTTTTGCGTGTGTGTTAAAGAACGAACAAATGTACACGTAAAATTTTGTATTCTGGTTAAATGCTTTTAAGTCTTGAACTAAATAATTACCGTATATCAAATTACTTGGTTTAGATTTGAGATTGGTACTAAAATAATCAGTTGTAATTGACAAATGAATTTTGCGATGCAAAACAACTGCAGACTATATATAGAATGTTTATTAGAACTAGATAGACAATTTTCAGTTGTACCTTATAAAGTCGTTATATTTATACTTTAGTCCCACCCACCCCCACCCCCTCCCCCCTTTCAGCTGCGCAAATACCAAATAACTTCTCTTTTCCACTTGTGATATTTTCCCTGACCAAAATATGATCAGCACGGACTACCCGGTAAGTGTTTTGATGTGCTAGGCTGAACGGAGTAGTCACAGTGTGTTTACTTTTGATTTTTTATGGAGTTTATTTCTTTTTTGTGTTGCATTTTTCAATAAATGGAATTCAGGGTGTATATCACTTGACTTGTGCACATCTTCGAACCGATGCAGAGTTCTTATTACCAGGTATGGGTACGTTTACAGCGTTCGACGCGTTTTCTCGATATGCATCAAAGTCTGCATAAAACCTGCAAATCAAAGACACTGGTTGTTTTGTTCTATTCAAATGATAGTAATTTCAGAGTGTGTTTACGCGTTTTAGTGCTTTTTATTTCATGTTTATTCTGCATAAATTGGCGCAGTGTAAAAATGCGTACTCGTGCAACTAAAACTTTCTTTCAAACTTGCATTTTCTTTTTTTTTTTAATTACATTTGCAGAGGTGTTTACTCTTACGATTTCGCCGTATTTTTTACGGATTTTTAATCCAAATTACGTCTCACGTTTTGCTATTATGAAAATACGGAAATGTGTTCGTTTGGAATTTTGCAGTTAGTTTTCATTCTGATCTGCTGAAATAAAGCTGAAAGAATGCCGACTCGGCTTAAAACAGCAACAATAATTGACAATCAATCGTTATGATCTGGTCGCCCGCCTGGCGCAGTGGTTAGAGCGTCTACTCTGTGTAGTGCACAGTAAGGACTTGCTCCTTATATCGAGGGTTCGGATCACACTAGTGCGCCTTGGAGACTTCAAATCAGATCGTATAAACCGTGTC